TTTACATCATTGAGTTCTAGATTCATGCTATTCATGCAAAATGGAGTGAGAACCTGTCAGTGTATTATTAAATTATTTCCTTTCTGTAATATTTTTTCATATGTAGCAGAGAGAGTCTGTAATGTGGGTATTTTTGATAATGCATGGCATCGGTAGCATTATCACATTGTCCAAGTCGTCTTCACTAAATGAATACAGAGCTGAATCTTTTCTTAGCAGCAAGGAACAGGCCTTATAGATTCTATTGTCACTTAGGTGTTTCCTGTGTTTTAATTATTTCAACCAAGAATTTTAGAAGAAAGAATAAGAAAATGGAGCAAGGTGGCCTTGATCTAAACTACTGTCTCTTCAGTGCTGCCAGGCATAAATTTAGCCCTATCTATGTACAGGTCTGGGAGCTCTGGTGGTGGAGCACTTAAGGCATTTGACTGCTAACCAGAAAGCTGGCGGTTCAAACCCATCAGCCCCTCCTCAGAAGGAAGGTTGGGTGATCTACTTCTGTAGTGATACTGCCTTGGAAGCCTAAGGAGAGGTCGCTATGATTCGGATCCAACTCGATGGTAGTGAGTTTTGTTATGTACAGGTCCATAAATTTCCTATTTGAATCTACTGTGAATAAAGGTTTTTTTTTTTTTTTTTTTTTGAAGTTTTTGTCTCAGTTGCTTTTAGATGTCAGTTTTTTCACTGTTAAAAGAACTGTTTTTTTGTTACCCAACTTAGTATGAGTATGTTTTAATTGTTGCTGGCAGAGTGATAACTTCATTTTCTTATTGTTCATGTTTTCTGTTCATGAGACTCCAAGGTGTAGATCATTTACTTCTTTTATTTCAACAATAAAATTCATGTTTTAACTGTGTATCTGAAAACATCATTTACTACCAGTTTATTAGCTATTATAGAAGTATTTTTCTCAGTTTTCAACCCTTTATAATTTCAATCTGTTTTTAATCTTTAGAGTATTTTTATACTTTTGGTCATTTCAAGTTTACTCAGTAAATTTTTTGTATGAAACCACTGTTCCACACATAGAGTTGGCAAATATAATTTAAAAATTACTTTGTAAAATACAGATGATATATGACTTTACAATCCCCAAAACTAGAATGCTTAACTCATCTTGATTATCAGGAAAATTGCTTTAGGAGGAAATGTAATTGATCATACTATGTATATAAATAAAACACTTGATTTAGCACATTTCAGTCAGAATATTGATTTGGTGAAAACTGAAATTTTATATGTAGTTGCAAGTGAAAATAAACACTGATTCTTAAGGTAACAGGCTCATTTTGTAATGAAACTAATTGAGTTTTTGAGAATTTGCCAAAAAATAAAATACAATAATCACAGCCTTTCAGGTAAATTATCACTAGTTTTGAAGACAGTGATATTTGAGTAACTATCTTGCCCAATTTCATTTTGATTCACCTTCAGTGCTAATGCAGTCTAGTACTCTGATAATGAAAAAGTGACAAATACACCAATTTTTGTTACGTTTTGATGAACAGAAGCAAGGAATGGCTAATAAAGGAAAGACACCCTTCTTTGTCTCTTTCCCTCATCCTGTGAGATCTAGTTACTGCTTTGTTATTGTGGGAGCAATATCCTCAATCGGTACTTTTTATCTTATGGTCTGATATAAGACTTGATGCAATTTAGTTACATCTTATTTAAAATTATTTAAACTTTACTGTTTCAATAAAGAATATAAGGTATTTCAGTAAGAATATAGGGTTTTTATCAGTCTCTAAGGGTACACTGACTTGGTTTTTAGGAAACAACAGGAGAGATTTGATTTGATAACTAAACATAAGAATGTCATTGTAGTCAAGTCAGTTTCTGACTCATAGTGCACCTGTTGGACACAGTAAAACTGTCCAATAGGGTTTCCAAGGCTGTAAATCTTTATGGAAGCAGACCGCCACATCTTTCTCCCATGGAGCAACGGATAGATTCAAACTGCTGACCTCTCGGCAGTTAGTGCTTTAGCCACTGTACCACCAGGGCTTCTTGTTTAGTAACTAAATAATAATAAAATAACTTTTTCTTACATTTTTTAATTTACTTCAAATATATATTGTGTTAAAACTAATGAAATTTTAATGTACAGTCAGGGCTGATACAGACAGATGTTAAGGAAGCCTTATTCTCATTTTAACACAGAGCACAATACTTTTCACATATTAACTTTTTAAGGTATTTCATTCTCATGAGATCTTAGCTAATTAATTGTATCCTGGCTCATATCCTGCATCTGGAATGTGGGTTTGATAACCTATTTTCAAAGTTGGCAAGCTAACCTACTGCCATCAAGTCAATTCCAACTCATAGCAACTCCCATAGATTTTCCAAAGCTGTAAACCTTTATGGAAACAGACTGCCTCATCTTCCTCCCAAGGAGCTGCTGGTGGGTTTGAACCAACCACTTTTTGGTTAGCAGCCCAACTAGCAAGCCACTCAACTCACTGCCATAGAGTCGGATTTGACTCATAGCGACCCTTCCTTTTGTTTCAGAGGTGGTATCACTACAGAAATAGATTGCCCAACCTTCCTTCTGAGGAGTGGCTGGTGGATTTGAACCACCAGGCTTCTCGTTAGCAATCAAATGCCTTAGGCACTACGCCACCAGAGCTCCCAGGAACCTTAATTATTTCCTGAAAGTTAAAGGAAGATTTCCAAGTATTTAAAAAAAAAAAAAAAAATCTGCCAAATTCCTATAAGGTATGAAAGATAAATTGTGTTTTCCCTATTACAGCATTCTCACCTGGGGCTGCAATGCTTTGTATTTATGTTCTTTTTAGGGTAAAAGTAAAGACTGAAAAGTCATTCTCATTTCAATTGAATAAATATGGTTAAACAATGTTTCTTACATTTATAACCACTCATGAATGCATTTAGAAATACCTGATAATTTTATTCATTAAATCTTTGCTATCCTGTACATTGTTTTATTTACCTTTGTGGTGTCAACTCTTCCCACCTAAAAGGTAGTGGGTAGAGAGCAGAGTTTATAGTGTATCCTACCAAATCTGGGAACTATGCCTAGAGTATATGATAATTTGGGTAATTACTGGGTAACAGATTTGGGACTTATTTAATTGCTTTTCAACCCTAGATTAAGAGGAACTTTTTTATTTTCCTTATTAATAATAATAATTTAAAAAGTTGATAATCTGTTAATGTACATGTGTTAGCAGAAAATTGACCTCACTTCTTCAGGTCAAGCTATTTTAATTAGAATTATTTCCTTAAAACATCAATTCCCAAATCTTAAATTCAAAGTAAATGTGGTTATAATTAATTCATTTTAATTAATAATCTTTACAGTACTTTCATGTTTCTAGAAACATGTTATTTTGTAGGATTTAAAGAACAGAAATGCAAAGGAAAAATGTAAAATAAAAATGTAGTAAATTGTAAATTTTAACTAACTCTGAATGCTGAAGTCAGATGAATCTGCTTTGTTTTCATCGTACAGTTTTAAGTGTGTTTTTTCCCCCCAGGACACTTATTCAGAGCAGCTGGGGACCAGCCGTGTAACCTGTCCACAGTGTCGAGTGCCTTCCCAGTGGTCAGCCACCCGGTCTTTGGTCTGCATTCAGCCAGCTCAGGGCATTCAGAATTTGGTGGTTTGGGGACACTTGGTACACCCACAGCCTTAGCAGCACATCCCCAACTAACATCTTTTCCAGGTAAACATCTGTTACAAACAGTGTTCTAGGTAAGGAGGAAAGTGTGAAAACTTATTTTTAAAATTGGAAAAGTAGAATAGTCTAATGCCTGCTATATTAAAATTTTTGTGCAATAATGGACTCAGTCCTGTTTATCATGTGTAAAAACAAAACAAAAGAAAGCACACTATGCATGCTAAGTAGCACTGCCATTAATTAGTTATTCAGGTGTTTAGGGAAATCAATGTTTGTCATAAAAGGGATACTGTAATTGAACAAAGTTTTTATCATGCTTTTTACTAATGTGTAATGTGAAAGCAGAAGAGTGTACATATTGTAAGGATGCAGCTAGATGAATTTTTCTTAGCTTTTTTTTTGAGCTTTTTAAAAATAATTTATAATGGGAAACTAAAGTTCTTCATTCTTATAATGAATATTTCCACACTTTTATTTTGAGGCCTCATTTCTCTGTGCTTTGTAAAGAAAGTGAGCTCAAACTTAAATTTCTCTACTTCTTCATGTTTGTTCAAAACTGTTAGAGTTTCACCTCTTACTTGGTAAGAGAATCAGTATTATCCCAAATTCTACAGATTATGAGGATTCATGAATTCAGTAAGACACCCAATTAATGTTTAATTTAAATCAACGTGCTATACTTTATCCTGTTGTATTGTCTTGGAAGTCTAAACTTCAATATGTTTTCCATAGATTCATCTTAGGTATATCAACTTTATTAAAGAATGCATGTAGTTTAATGTAAGTAAAACAGTTTAAACCTTAGAGCATAATTCTAGAGATAAACAGATCTGAGTTTAAATCTGGCTTTGTTACTTCTTAGCTGTGTGACCTTGGACAAATTCCCTAACTTCTCAGCCTTAGTTTTCTCATCTAAGAAATCATAGTACTTGCCTAATAGGGCTTGTAAAGATTACAGGAGATTAACTATGTTCACTGTTGAATACAGTGTCTGGCACACATAATTAGCTCATAATTTGTGTCTATCATTGTTTTCTTTTGTTCACTTTTATTGTTAATGAATTGTCAAGTGCTTCTTTAAAAGGACACAGTTATCTTGTTTTTATATAGAAAGAACAGATGGTTAAATGTAGATTTCAAGTACTCTATCTAGAGTCATATTATTACTTTAATTCAGTCATCTGGGGAAGAGGAGGCAGTGGAAAGGACTAAAGGGAGTAGACATTGAAATGGAGTCAAACTAGGATCAATGTTTGCTTTAAAAATATTGATAAGAATTTATTTTAGTTAATGTATAGCATGGTTGCTTAGCAAGATGAGCATTCAACAGATATTTGTTTAAATATAGGATTGCTGAATAAAAATAAAAATGCAAAATGGACAATAGCAATATTGTTTCTGGCATCTTAAATATTTTTTATTATTCATTATTGTTTATTATGGTTTGTTTTTTGAGCATTTCTAAATCACAATATTATTATATCGTTGAAATCAAATACTTTCTGTACTGGTATAAAAATTAATGAGTAAGAAATTTCTCATCTGGACTTCAATAATGTTGCTACTTCCACTCTGTGGCAAAAAAAAATGTAATAACTTTCCCCCCTACATGAACAATTCACTCTTTCATTTATTGTACAAAGTTCTTTGAGCATGCACCATGTTCTCTGCCCTAGGCCAGGGTGTGGGGCATATATCAACACAGTAGATGCCCTTGTGGTAGCCTAGTGCTTAAGGCAGTTGACTGCTAGCCAGAAGGCTGGCGGTTCAAACCCACCAGCCACTCATTGGCAGAAAGATTGGACAATCTACTTCCATGGAGATATCGCCTCAGAAGCCCAAGGAGGGATCACCATGAGTTGAATCGACTCAATGGCAGTGAGTTTGGTTTTTTTCTATACTCTTTAGGAGACATATAAACAATTAAGAGACTGAACCTTTAGTGATAAAATTATGCCTATGACAGCGTATTCATAGATGGAGACTGTATCTGTATTTAGAAGACACAATTTGTTTAAATTGCAGAATCGGGACAATAATTGTTAAATATAAATAGCCTATATTTGACTTTATTCAGAAAGGTAACAAAAATGCCAAACATTTGAAATCACCTAATAAATAAATAAGGACACACAAGGAAGACATTATTAGACGTTTTAAATGAGAAATAGGTAATTTATCTTAAATCATATGTGCTTCTAAAGGATTCTGCTTTTCAGAAGATTAAATGCAGATATGAAATTATTTAATGGATAGTAGTGTAATAAGGAGCTCTGGTAGCACAGTGCCTAAGGCACTTGACTGCTAAGCAGAAGGCTGGCGATTGAAACCTACCAGCCACTCCTCGGAAGGAAGGTTGGGCAATCTACTTCTGTAGTGATACTGCCTTGGCAACTCAAGGAGGGGTCGCTATGAGTCAGATCCGACTCAATGACACATAACAACAACAACAACAGTAGTGTAATAAAAATATTTCTGTTTTACATTGGAACAGGATTTCATGGTAATTTATTTTTAAATATTTACAGTTAGGTCATTATGTTTATATTGTCTTACAGTAAGTTTTTGTGAAGTGTCTGACTCTATGAAGCTTGAAATAAGTTAAAAATTGTGTATTATGTTCTAGGCTCAATTTCAGATCCAGTGAATCCTCTGAAATACTCAGCTCTGTCAGTTGAAAATGATTAATGTTGCTACTGTACTGTTAAACCAAAAAAAAAAAGAAAAACCAAACTCATTACTGTCAAGTTGGATACAACTCATAATGACCCCTCCTTGGGTTCCCGAGGTGGTATCACTACTGAAGTAGATTGCCCAATCTTCCTCCGAGGAGTGGCTGGTGGGTTTGAACCACCAGCCTTCTGGTTAGCAGTCAAATGCCTTAGGTACTATACCACCAGAACTCCTTCTGTACTATTACCACCCCTGAATACACTTAGAAAATTTATCATATGTTGATTTATAAAATCTTTATTTTGTATACTTCATTTTATCAACAGGGTAGTTTGTGAGTAACTAAATTTCATTCTTTTATTTTCCTAAATTTGAAAGATAAATGAACGTATCACTCAAAAAACATTGTATTATTTCCTCTGAAATCATATCAGATACTTATAAAATTTATAATCTATAATCAATTATTTTTATCTTTATTTGATTTCTCTTATTTTTTTATTTTTTAGTTTTCTCTGTCATACAAGCTTATTTATAACACACATTTAACCATTGTTTTCTCTAAACCCTACCATGTGCTTATTTATTATTGATATTCTGAAGTATATATTTATATATGTTTGATTATGTCTAAGATATTTGAATCATATTAAACTTTGATCACTATATCAACTTCTTGGTCATTAAAAAAGTCTGTAAATTCAGTTGTAATGCTCTGTGTTAAATATTAGTATCTTTGGGACATCTCCATCCCTTATTATCAGTTATGGAAAACTTAGTTATCAAATGTATAAATAGCAATAGATTCTGCCTGTATTGATACAAGCCCAACATACATACTTTTTTCCTAAAAAAAGAGAAGTTTGTTTTATCTAATTGCACTTCCATCTAAGCAGTGAATCAATGATTGATGCTTTTGTATAGTTATTCTCAGCTCATTTCTCATCGTTCAGGCACTGGTGAAAGTGTATTGGCATCGTTTCATGAGCAAAGCTTTCCTGCAGTGCAGAAGAACAGCTCTGGCACTTTTCTGCTTATACTGTTCTGTTAGACCTTTCAGAATGGCAGCTACCATGAATATTTCCCTTTCTTTTCTTTTTTTTAAGCAGGTTTTGCCATTAGATAATGAAAATGCACATCACTTTACACAGTATTATTTTTGTGAAAGATATTCTTAGAAAAACTTTAAAGATAATATAACACAATATACTGAAAATCTTGAGTTTTTCTTGTATTACATCATCTTGTCTTTTCTTGTGATTTCCTTGTGTTACAATCAATGAAAAATAATACCATACCTTTTGGAAAATTGGACTGAAAGATGACTGATTTGGTAATCTGGAGGTTTGGCCAGTTGGAGAAAATTGTCTTTGAGATTTTAGATGAGAACAGTAAAAAACTCTCTTTTGGATTATTTTCAAAACTCTTCTTAACCTTCCCCCTTCCTTTAAACATACATTCTATAAAATTTGGCTTGTCTGTTTTCTAAATGTTTTAAGTAAGAGCCAGTAGTCTTTTAGTATCCAAACTGCTTTTCATGATTTGCTACCATTTAGTCATTTTACCTCAGTAAAACAGTCATTGTTATCTGTAATTTGTAAGAGGAGGTATAAACAAAATTCAAACTTGCTTCATTAACAGAAAAAGCTTTATAAATCTTGTATATTTTAATGTAAATTTTTATCTTTGAGCATATTTCATTTCTTATATCCTAAAAAAGTCTTAACTGATTTTGCTATATGTTTCTGTTGGATTGACTATAGAATGTTTTCTTCCAGAAATGTATTTGAAGTATGCTACTCTTTGTACTTTTATTTAAACCACCTGAATTATCAGAGCCAGATATATATTGTATGTAATTTGACAAAGCTTTTAACAGAGGTTGTAGATTTAACTTTAAATTTTAAGGTTTTAAAGTAGATTTGTATAGTCTTAAATATCTTGCTTTACTAATTTGGAAAATATGTGATGGGCATTTGAAAGAGTCAAATAGTCCTTTTTTATTCCAAGTTTTCAGTTTTCTTTTTACAACCATGGACTACTTTTGTTCCTTATAAGCTTGAACTCTAGAGAGCTGCTAAGTGAATATCCTTAGGTACTGTCTTTATGAGAGGAATGATGAGTGTATAAATTCTAATCAATTATTTTAGAATTAGACTGATGATCAGAATTTTAATTGAACAATTCTGTTCCAAGATGATTAAAGTTTTGTTTTTTTCAGGAATCAAATATAGAAAGTGTTTTGTTCTATTAACTGGAAAATCAATGCAAATCTTTTTATTTGTTTGGTTTGTTTGGTTTTGAGGTTCAGAATGGTGGCGAACAACAGATGTTCATACTCGTACAGGAGCAACCTTCTTTCCACCATTACTGGGAATTCCACCACTGTTTGCTCCCCCAGCCCAGAATCATGATTCGTCTTCATTCCATTCAAGGACTTCAGGAAAAAGTAATCGAAATGGTCCTGAAAAAGGTATCCATATTGATATAAGTGAAGTAGTATAAATCTTCAATTCTAAAACCTATTTGCCGATGAACACAAGCTTAATAACATTTTTATAGAATTGTGCTAGTCATGTTTACATTATCTTGCCTAATCCTTACAATTTTTTGAGATTCTGAATATGTATTCTTGTTTTGCAGCCAAGAATGAATAAGTTACTTAAGGAAACTTCTTCATAACTATGTGGCATCATTAGAATTTGAACCCAGGCCCTCTGACTCATTTTGTTGCTTCTCCTCTGTACCCTATTAACACCCTTTATGCAACCCAACATAATATATTGGTTCTTCTATAATTAATCATTAATTTCATTTAAATTCATACCCTCAATTAAAACTAGGGAGGGAGAAATGCATGAGACTGAAGGACACAGGGAAAAGGTAACTGGAGGGAGCAAGTGGGAAGAGTGCTGTTACATTGTGGGGATTGTAATCAGTGTCACAAAATAAAATGTATCTGAACTGTTGAATGCAAAACAAATCTGCTCATTAAAATTTCACCCAAATCAGATTGAACCCATTCCTGTGGCTTCCAGCCAAACAAAAGACAGGTATATGAGCTGAACAATTACATTGGGTAGATACACTCATTGGAGAGAATAATCATGGGAGAATAGAAGGGCTGTGTATACATAGGGAGACATCTCAGAGAGCAGGAGTACATGGGAGGGAAGGACACAGGGAAGAGGTAACTATGGGCAGGAGGTAGGAGGAGAGCTGTTGCATTGTGGGAAATTACAGTCAATGTCATGAGACAGTATATGTGAACTGCTGTATGGAAAATGAATTTGCTCTATAAACTTTTACCCAAATTACAATTTCAAACAAAAAAAAAAGAAATTAAAAAGAATTATAATAAAAAGTTTTTTAAAAAAAACTAATATTTTCAAACTATTTTTCTTGTAAGTGCTCATTAATATTTTTTGAATTGATAACTACTACTAGAATATCATATGAAAATTATATTAGCATTTTTAGATAATCTGTTAGTGTCTTTTCATTAGACTGGTAAGCAATTTGGAGAGTTTCCTTTCAAGGGAGGATATTTTCATTATTTTTTTAAACATAAATATATATATATATATATATATATTTTTTTTTTCCCCAAGGTGTAAATGGGTCGATAAATGGAAACAGTACATCATCTGTATCTGGTATCAGCACGTCTGTACTATCCACTACTGTTTCAAGTTCCATGGGACAAACTAAAACCGTAAGCTCAGGTGGAGGAAATCGAAAATGTAATCAGGAACAAAGCAAAAACCAGCCTTTGGATTCTAGAGCTGACAAAATCAAAGATAAGGTAAGTTGTTCTATGAAGAATAAATGTCTAACATATCTTATATTGAAACCACCAGAATCTATGGATTAATTTCTTATGAATTAGCAGCTTCTGGTTTTGCAGATATATGTTTTTTTGGTATTGTACTAATATTAATGTATTTGAAAAGATTTTTGAAAGTCCTCACCACTATAAATAAGACAAATAGTAATGGTAATTAAAATTTATCAAGAACTTCCTATGAATGAGCTCTAGTCTAATTACTTTGCATGTAATATCTATTTCAATCTACATTGTATCCCTTATGAGATAGGTATTATTATTACAAATTGTGAAACAGAGCCCCCAAATAGTTAGTCAGCAGGTGGCTAAGCAAGCAAGGATTTGAAGCCAGGCAGGTTGACTCCAGAATGCTTGCTTTAAAAAAAAAAAAAAAACACTAAAACTTTTCAGTGTTCAAGTATATGAAAGTAGAAAGAATACCATAACAAGTTCTCATATGTCCATCATTCAACTTCAACAGTTATCATCTTATGGCCAATTTTATTTCATCCATATCTCCGACTATATAAGTTATCAATGTATTACTTCTCAGTTCTAAATTGACTTTATCTGTATTACTATTTGACACAGTGTTAGGCTTTGTTGGTAGAAGGCCTTTAGGAACGCTGCAAGAGGAAGGGGCTTCTGTTGCCGGTTTCAATGTTTTCTTCTGGTTCCACTGCTAGAACTGCCAGTGAGTAACTTCCTTGCCAAATAGCAGCTTCCCCTCAGTCGTGTTTAGGAGACCCAGTGGTACACATGGCTAGAAGAGTTTCGTTAACGTTCTAGCAGACAGCTTTGCAACAAGTTTTGCTGGCACACCAGTGAACTGTTTTCTAGCTAATTTTACTGACACCCCTGCTGGCAGGTTCCCTACACAATTTGCAGTCATCCAAGCAGGCAGTTTCCTGCGTACCAATCTTGGCCTCTAGTACCTCATTTAGCTTCTCTGCCATCCAGTAGATGACACATGGCCACATCTGCTTCAGCAAAGTGTGAATCTCAGTCTTGGGGGGTGGGGTAGAGGAGAAAAGTTCTCTTCCAAGTTTGTCTTTATTTTAGTACTCTTCTTCCATCCTATGGGTAGTAGCTGTTCTCTAAATTTGCTATTCTTAAATTCTTTAGTTGTCTTACCATTCTTGGTAGTTAGGATTTTGTTGTTAGTTATTGTCGAGCTGATTCCTACTCATGGTGACCCCATGCATGCAGAGTAGAACCTCTCCATAAAGGTTTTGTGACATTTAGGAAGCAGATTGCCAATACTTTTTTTTTTTTTCCCCAATATTTTATTGTTTAGTTGAAAAGTGTCAAGAGTAAATTAGTTTCCCATTTAGCACTTTATCCACAAATTGTTGTAATACCCACAATATGTCAACACGCTTCCCATTTCCACCTTGGATTTCCCATTTCTGTTTGCCCAGTTTCCTGTTCTTTCCTGCCTTCTTAATTTTGCTTTAGGGCAAATCCTGCCTTTTTCATCTCATGTTGTTGATTATTCTGAGGAACATGTTCCTCCTAGGTGTAATTGTTTACTTTATAGGTCTGTCTTTATTGTGACTAGATCTCTAGGAGTGACTTCAGTTCTAAGTTAGAAGGATGTCTAAAGACCATAGTCTTGGGGGTTCCACCAGTCTCTATCAGACTAGTAAGTCTGATCATTTTTATGAATTTGAATTTTGTTGTACTTTTTCCTCCACTCTATCGGGTACCTTCTATTACGATCCCAGTCAGAGTAGTCACTTGTGGTATCTGGACACCATCTACTTCATCTTCTCTCAGGTTAGTGGAGGCTATGATTCATATGGTCCATTAGTCCTTTGCACTGATGATTTCTTTTGGACTCCCTCTTCCTCCTCCTGCTAGGGAAGCTCTGGCATAATTTAATTTTATTAAATGCAGGCCACCATTGATTCCAGCTACATGAGTTAACACATTATTTCCAGAATCTGTAATAAGTAAGCCCATACCAGTGAATTTAATCTGCTGATATTTGTGAGTAATTTCTTCTTGAGTGAGAGATCTCAGCTTATGCTGAGTTAAAACCTTGACATTAACTGCAAACATTTTAGAAACAAAGATAACTAGAGCAGTGTCTTCATTTCTACATTTAATAAGATAGCTCAAGGAATGATGGTGACTATCAGTCTGCTTGCTGAATTACAGAATTAATTATAATTAATTACAATTAATTTTGGGGGCACTTACCCCAGAGTCATTGTGTTAGACTGGTTTCTCTAGAGAAACAAAACTGGTAAAGCTTATGGACAGTTGTAGGCATCACAACAGAATCCCAATCTGCAGAAGAGTGTCTCTTTTCCCAGGATGTCCATAAATATACTGGAAGCAGGCCATACCCCTAGAGAAACTCCCTTTCAATGGATTGGCTGCTCAAAACATATACATCTGATCTCATCATTGGAACAACCCACATCACAATTGCTTAAACCACACCGAATTGTGGTCCAGCCAAGTTGACACACAGCTCCAACTATCAGTCATGGCAAGCAGTGGAAGTGAAGATCACTTTTCTCACTCCTAGGCATTTTATTTGACTTAAAACTTCAGAAGGTGTTTTGGCCCTCTAGTGCCACTCTAACAGATAATACCACAAATGGGTGGTCTTAAACAGGATTTTATTCTCTTACAGTTTAGGAGGCTGGAAGTCTGAGTTCGAAGTGCCAGCTCCAGGGGCTGGTTGACAGCCTCTTGACGTTGAGCTTCAGCTCTGTCTCTTGCTTCTGGCCCACTGAAGCTGGAGGTATCTATTTACTCATGTAGCTTCTGGCTGCTGAGGCTAACAAGCCCAAGGTCAACAAGTAAAATGGCATTGTTTCAAAATTATCAGACCACATGGCAGGGCACTAATTCAAGTCCATTAACAGTCCCAAGATTGGCAGATATCATGGCAGGCCATTGAGATGAAAACTTGGCCCAATGCAGGATACAGATGTGCCAAAAGCTAGAAACCTTCTTCAAAGCTTCTCCTTACATACTGGAAGCAAACCACATCCCTAAGGCAGCTACTCAGGTGCTACAGTAGATTCCACCATAGAGCTGATTACAAGTCTCATCATGGGTAATAACTATATCCAGCTGCCCAGCCATCCAAAACCAGGCCCAGCCAAGTTGACACACAACTTAACTACCACAGGAGGCATAATGGAAAAAGTATAGGTTTGCAATCTTTTAACTATAACTTCAATTTGGCTACCTCTCATAAGAGGTGCATTTATTGTCTTTCATTCTTCAATCCAGTAGCCATGACGACTGTATTTCCATTAAGACCATAATGGAGAAACCACTTTTGTAATTCAGTGCTGCTTTTTCTGTGTTTTGTTCTTTATCTATCAGCAAATGCTATTGAAATGCTCCTAACTAACTTTGATTTGTACTTAATCTTACTGCTCTATCATTTCAACATTTCTCTTTTTCTTTCTTTTTTGGCACAGTTTTAATTTTTCCAATGATAAATAAATATAACTCATCTCATGATTTTTCCTCTTTTTTGTCTACTATTACTGTCTGTTCTTTATACACAAAACTTCCTTTTTATGTAAACTAATGTCCCTTTTTTGGATTTATTTTTATTTTGGATTTATTTTTCCCTGTAGGATCTTACATGTTCTGAAAATTAGTCTTCCTCCTTTATAATATTTTTCTGTTTTTTCTGATGTGAAATATTAAAGTTAAATTCCTTGGTCCTAACTAAAATAGCCTCTTCAAGTTTTACAGTACCTATTTTAACTTCTCCATAACACTTATTGCTATATGGAATTATTGCTACTTAAAATATTCCCCACCTCTGCCACCACTAGAATATAAATTTCTTGAAGGGAAGGACTCTGTCTTGGATACTGTTATAGCCTAGAACCTAGAACAGTGTTATAGGTTAATATTTGCCTACTGATTCACTACTTGCATAAAGAAGGAAGAATAAGGTAAATATGTAACTTCTGGGTATATACCCTTTATAATTGTAATTATTATTTTGTAAACTACTCTTGTTAATGCTTCCATATGCTTGTTGCATGTGACAAGAGAACTTGCGTGTTTTTTTCTTTTTTTTTTTAAGTAGGGGGATTCTTATCAGACAAGTTAATTTCATCAAAATGTTTAATAATTAGCTCTACAACATCTGACTTTTCCCTTTTTCTTAAAATTACAAGTTGAGATTGAAAATTAAAACAGCATACATCTTACTGAAACTTGAATTCTTTCTAAAATTAAAACCTTGTTAAAAATCTTGTCTTTTTTCCAGAAACCAAGGAAGAAAGCTATGGAAAGTTCTAGCAACAGTGATAGTGATTCAGGAACATCATCAGACACCTCAAGTGAAGGCATTAGTAGTAGTGATTCAGATGATTTAGAAGAAGATGAAGAGGAAGAAGATCAAAGTATTGAAGAAAGTGAAGATGATGATTCTGATTCAGAGAGTGAAGCACAACAAAAAAGTAACAACCAGGTATGAATAATTTCATTGACATTCTCCATTAACTGATTAATTTTGATTCACAAAATTGATGATGAAAGTTTTGAAGTTGAAATCATTATCCTCAGTTCGTATTTTTGCACAAGAGATAAAGGAATGGGAAAACATTTTTAAAGAAACATTTGGTATATTTTAATGAATTTTATATATACCTAAAGTTACTAGGAACACTTTTTAAAGTGCCCTTTTTCCTTCAGATTTTACTGCTTGTTAGTCTTTGTTTTTATAGATATTAAGAAGTTGCCTTTAAATTTTTATTTACAGGTGCTATTACATGGTATTTCAGACCCAAAAGTAGATGGACAGAAAGCAACTGAAAAAACCCAGGAAAAAAGAATACACCAGCCATTACCTCTTGTGTCTGAATCCCAGACTCACTCATCATTCCAATCCCAGCAGAAGCAGCCTCAGGTTTTGTCACAGCAGCTTCCATTTATTTTCCAAAGCTCTCAGGCAAAGGAGGAATCTGTGAACAAACACACCAGTGTAATACAGTCTACGGGATTGGTGTCCAATGTGAAACCTTTATCTTTGGTAAATCAAGCCAAAAAGGAAACTTGCATGAAACTCGTAGTTCCTTCTCCTGATGTACTTAAAGCAGGGAATAAACATACCTCTGAAGAATCTAGTCCTTTGACCAGTGAATTGCGATCCAAACGGGTGAGTTAAATTTGTTTATAGTAGAATTTCACTGTTAGAAAAAGGTGGAGCTTTTTGTATAGTCTTACAATACACACATTTAAATTAAATTCTTCCCTGAATTTTATACTTTATTATCAGGAATAGATTACGAGCATCTGTCAACTGAATTTTTCTGATTTTATATTTACCTACTCATCTACTTAATATGTTCTTGGCAACCAAATCATGTCATTTTTGTATCATGGCATTTTTGTCATTTTTATATCATGTCTGGTAATCCACTGTTCAAACATAGCGGTTATTGTTGTCATCACATTAACTAACTTCTCATAAATAAGTAAATTAGAAATTATATTGTTAAGGCTATTTAAATTTTTTATTAATGTATGTCTCATTTTAAGAAATAAATTTACAGAGCTAGACCAAGAATTATTTGCTTTATAAAAGATTCCTTACTTTATTTCAAAGAGTTCTTAAAGGTTTTTCAAATGAAGAATATTATTAAAAGTCATCTGTTGAACACTTGCTTAATCAATGTAGCCAAGTTATGCTTTTTATGCATATGATTTCATTTAATCCTTACAAACCTTTGTGAGATAAAGAAACTAAGACTCAGAAAAGTTAAGTCATTACCAATATCACATAACAAATAAAGGCAGAGGGATTTAAACCAAAGTCATTCTGCTTTTAAAGCCCATGATTAAGATGAAAACAATCTGATATTCCTGCTAACTGGAAATTATAATATAAATTATATGAAATATTTTATGTGAATGGACATTCTCATTATACTCATCTCTAAATATCTGTATCTACTCTTTAGCAGTACCTATTATTGGGGCCGACTCGACGGCATATAACAACAACAACAACAACATTATTAGGTTGGATGATGCAAACAGTTAAGCACTCAGGTGCTAAACAAAAGGTTGTCAGTTTAAACCCACCCAAATGTACCTCAGAAGAAAAGGCTCATGATCTATCTCCAAAAAATCAGCCATTGAAAACCCTACAGAGCTCAATGCTACTCTGAAACACATGGCAACACCATGAGCCAGGGTTGACTTGATGGCAACTGATTTTATTATTGAGTTAGAGGATATTTATAAATGCTTCTTTATTTTTCATAATTGATAGCTATTTTTCTTTATATGACATAGAAACAAAAGTCTGCCATATAGAATTTTGCTTTATTTTCTTGCAGTAATCTCATTTGTTTCCTGATCCATGCTCTGTGCGTGCATCTGCCTTATTAACTAGTCTGTGATTTACTTGGGTATTATTTAATCATTGGACTCTTCGATGATTACATTTTAATCATATTTCTTTACATTTTAGTTGCTTAATTCAAATCAATGTACACTAATTGGCTATATAAACCAGGGGTAGAATTTGGTAGATATGTCAGTATTTTTATCAAGTTTTTCCTACAGGATTTTTTATAGTTTGCAGCAATTCATGTGTGAGCTAGGGGAGGGAGAACTTGGAGGCAGGACAAACTTTCACACCTCTTCCCATACCTCTGTCCTTCAAATGGATATCTTAAAGCATCAAGAGATTTGCTACTGTAGAGGTCTCAATTTTCTCCTCACCCTTCTTCTCATGTGTACTTGGTGTTAATTGACATTGAGTCAGCCCCCATCACATGGTCACTATGTGAAACACTACCTAGTCCTGTGCCATCCTCATGAGTGGTTGCAGATCAGACTGTTGTAATCATATTGTTTTCAGTGTAAATAGATCTCCAGGCCTTTCTTTTCTACTCCATCTTAGTCTGAAAGTTCTTCTGAAGCCTGTTCAGCAGCCTAGCAACATGCAAGCCTCCACTAATAAATGGGTGGTGGATGCAAAGGAGATACATTGGCTGAGAATTGAACTTAGCTGTCCCTCATCAAAGGCACAAGTTGGGCCACCGAACTACCGATGCCACCGTTCTTTTTATGTACCACTCCTAATATCAGAAAGGACAACGTGTTCTATAAAACAGTAACTGATACTAATCTTAGAACAAAATGCATGAATCTTTGGTTATTTTTGAAAACCTTTAGGTTTTAATATATGGGACAAGCAATTATAGAAAATTAAAATATGAAACTAAAAGGAAGTTGGTTTTTAAAAAAAAAATTATTTTGATTTGGGTGCAAATTTACAAAGCAGATTTGTTTTACTCTGAATAGTTCATGCACATGTGGTTTCACAGCACCAGTTAAAATCCCAACAATACAAAGCTCTTCTCCCTGTGACTACCACTTCTTTGTGGCTTCTTATCTATGCATTCTTGTCTCTCCAGCTTTCCCTCTATGCAAATGCTGCCCTTCTGATGTCTCACAATTGATTGATCTAAGGGGTGATTCTCCCTAGGGTAGGTGGGTACATCTCCCTGGGATACTGTATTCTGCTTGTAGACCTTTGTACTGTTTGACTGAGAGCTATTCCACAGGAGTGAGTCCAGTTCCAGGTCTGGAGGATAACCCAGGGCCATCGTCTTGGGGGTTCTGTCTGTCTCTATCTGACCAGTAAGTCTGGTCATTATTGTGTTTTTTAATTTTGTTCCACGTTTTTCCTCCCACTCTATCCACGATCTCCAATTTTGATCCCTTTCCTAGTGGTTGGCATCAGTAGCTGGGCACCATCTAGTTCTTCTGGTCTCAGGGTCATGAAGGCTGAGGTTCCTGTGGTCCATCAAACCCTTGCACTAATTGTTTCCATATGGCTTTGATTTTCTTCAATCTTCTTTGTGCTAGATGAGAGGAGACTTACAGTTGCATCTTAGAAGGCTGCTCAAAAGCTTTTAAGACCCCAGTCGCTACTACTAAAGTAGGATGTAGAACAAGATTTTTATGTACTGTGTTAGTGCTAACTGACCTTGATGTCCTCTAAGACCATGGTCCTGAGCCTGCAGGCCTGGTGACTCACTCCTAATGGGAAGTTTTTTGTTTTCATTCCTTTTTTGGTCCTGTGTTTTAGAAGAAAACTTTATTACCTATGAAAAAAGTACAAAATGAATATGTGAAATTTATTATATCCTAAGAAATTAAAATATACTGATTTCTAATACTGAAAATGTAAATTCTATATAAAAATATTGTACTTAAAAATACGTAAGAAAACTTACTTTATGTAATAAATACTATGAAATTCATTTCAAAAGGTAAATGAAATAATTTAGTATTTTCTACATTTTATTCACTGAATAAACACTGGTTAAGTACTTCCTCTTTGTAAGTCATTGCCTTAGTAATAAATATTACATATATATAGATATATAGATATACACACACACATATACATATGTAATATATATTCTTTATATATAGGTATATATATATATGTTTGTTATGTATATACGTGTGTGTGTGTATATGTGCTCATGTATATATACAAAGAATTAACTTAATTTGCTAAACTAATATAAAGATGTTAAATAAGATACAGAAATTTTTATAGGAATTGCTTACTATCTGTTAGTATTGCTCCTTTAAAATATTTAATGTGAGTCATTTTATGTGGCATTACATCTTCATTTATGCTTGTGAAATCCCCACCACAAATCTTTGCTGACTTAAATATTAGGGACTTGGGTCTGATACAGCATCACTGATTTTAATGTTGATGCATTTTCATTGCACAGTTTTTCCTGAGGGAGTTGAACTCCTCCTCAATACCTTAAAATATTTTAATACTATTATACTTTATTTTTAGTTTCTAATAGCTAAATTATATTGTTGTTTCTTATTTATAGATGTGAGGTTTTTGGCTTAATGGCATTTACATACTAATTTTTCCTGAGAAAGTTGTTTTATTATACTCTTTCCAATGTTAATATGTCAGTGGCACTCTAAAATATCCTACAGAATATTGAGCCCCCATTCCCACCAGTTTAGTATCTTAAATCTTTGCTTCAAGAAGTTCTTCTTGCTCTGGAAATTAATCATTCATTCAGAAATCTGCAGTTGTTTTTTGAGTGCCTGTTAGATTCAAGGCTCTAACCTAGGTCTTGAGAAGACCTTAAAGAGGAATAAAATAGTACTGTTCCTACTCTAAGAAATGTACCAAAGATGTAAACATAGCTCTTTGGAGATTTAAGTCAGAGAAGCCCATATTACCTATGTGGTGGTTATTAGATGCCATCAAGTAGAAGAGCCCCATTGGGATTTGTTGGCACATAACAACAACAACAACAATCTTTGTAGAAGCAAATTGTCAGATCTTTCTCCCATGGAGCTGCTAGGTGGGTTCAAACTGCCAACCATTTGGTTAGCAGCCGAGAACTTAACTATTGAGCCATCAGGGCATCTTTTGTTACCATATTACTATATATACTACCCTTCACTAATATAAGCAGTATAGGGTAGAATATAAAAAGGTAAGAGTTCAAAGCACAGAGACAGAGAGTGCTTCTCATTGGTACATACTTTGAGTTAGGGCTTGAATAAAAAACAGATACCATTGGCTTAAACTTGATAAGAAGGGAACATCTCATGCGGAGAAAATGGTTATCACAAAATGTAGAGATAGTCAAAGTATGACATGCACAAAGCATGGCAAATTGTCCAGTTTGACTGGAAAGGTGTGTTATTTGCCTAATTTTAAATTAGTTTGAATATCACAATATTTAGGCTTACTAAGGAGAGAAGCACTACAGGCTTTTGACGAAGGGTCTAATATAATAAAATGAAACTGGTGTTGGTTTGTAGTGTATATGAGACTTTAATGGGAAAGGATGATGTAGCTTTAATTTGAGCAATATATAAAGGAAGGAATACAAAAGAGATAGTAATATAGGGCTGACTTGGAAAAGAGAAAAATAAGAGATTTTTTACAGTTCCAAGTTTGGATTATTGGGAGAATGGAAGCAATACTCAAGAAGCATATGTATTTTGAGGAAGAAAGATGAATTGAATTTGATATATATTAGGACCAACCAAGTTCCACAACCAAGTAGTCATTGCTTCCACACCCTTACAGCACTTACCGTGATTTAAATTTGTATATGAGCAGCTGTTTTCAGATATTGAAGGCAAATAAAAGCAATCTTTGTTGTTACTGTACATTATTGTTTGTTTTTTAAAATTTATGTTTCAACAGGAGCAATATAAACAGACATTCCCAGCACAGTTAAAGAAACAGGAGTCATCTAAGAGCTTGAAGAAGGTTATTGCAGCTTTGTCAAATCCAAAAGCAACCTCTAGTTCACCAGCACATCCAAAACAAACATTAGAAAATAACCACCCTAATCCATTCTTGACAAATGCACTTTTAGGTAATCACCAACCAAATGGAGTTATTCAAAGTGTCATTCAAGAAGCTCCTCTAGCACTTACTACCAAAACTAAAATACAGAGTAGGATTAATGAAAACATTGCTACTGCAAGTAGCACCCCTTTTTCCTCACCAGTAAATTTGAGTACAAGTGGGAGAAGAACTCCTGGCAATCAGACACCTCTAATACCTGCTGCTTCTCCCATACTCCCTGGTCAAGGAAAGGAAAAAGCAGTTAGCAATAATGTAAACACTGTACAAACACAACATCACCCTCATCCTGCAAAATCCTTAGTGGAACAGTTTAGAGGAACAGATTCTGACATTCCCAGTAGTAAAGATTCTGAAGATTCAAACGAGGATGAAGAGGAAGAAGATGAGGAAGAAGATGAAGACGATGATGAGGATGATGAATCTGATGACAGCCAATCAGGTTATTTTCTATTTTAAGAGTTAAGCTATTTCTCTGTATGCTATATGAACCAACATTTTAAGGAGCTTCTTAATTCAGACGTAAAGTCGATTGTCATTCACTATGTTTCACACGGCTATGTGCATTTCTGTAATGCTCTGGTAAAGTACAAACAAAAACGAAACCAAACTCACTGCCGTCAAGTCACTTCCAACTCATAGCGACCCCTCCTTGCATTTCCGAGGCAGGATCTCTACAGAAGTAGATTGCCCAGTCTTCCTTCCGAGGAGTGGCTGGTTGGTTAACAGCCAAATGACTTAGGCACTATGCCACCAGAACTCCCATGAAGTACAAAGGTAATTTAAATTGGAAATCCTCAGCTAAATTATCAACTTTGTTATTCATTTGACATTAAACAAATAGTAAACTTTAAACTAAATGCAAATGATGCATGAATTAAGAAATAATTTCATCAACTTGGTTAATTTCTTTTGTTACTTGTTAAAAATATAAGTGCTAAATGTTAGGAATTTTGTACAAAGATAAAATGATAGTAATAGTCCTTCAGACAATACCCACAAACCTAAGTCCTTATAAATGGCCGTCTTTAATAGATAATTGATTAAATAACATCTGGAGCATTCCTTGATTTTATTTTGATTCACTTTCTGGGTTCCCCGCCCCTACACACACACCCAAGGAGCTCTGGTAGCATAGTGCCTAAGGCACTTGACTGCTCACCAGAAGGGTGGCGGTTCAAACCCACCAGCCACTCCTCGGAAGGAAGGTTGGGCAATCCTACTTCCATAGTGATACTGCCTCGGAAACCCATGGAGGGGTCGCTATGAGTCAGGGCTGACTCAACGGCAAACAACAACAACAACAACAACACACACACACACACATTTTCTTCTTTCCTTTCTTGTTTGTTTCCTTTCCCTCTCTTCCTTGTTCCATAGAAGATTAAAAGCAGAAAATACAAGATAGCTTAAATTTAAAGTACAAAGGAGAAAGGCATGTTATACAAGTTTGTGAATTTGTTATGGGCCAGCCAGCCACACATCCCACTATAAATTTTCTAGTAGCCAATATGAATAGGAAAATATAGTTGTACAATCTAAAGTGTCTGTAATGTAAAAACAGACTACTTGTTCAAGGTTAAGAACAGCTTTTCCTGGTAAGATTTTTTTCCCTTGGGTTCCCATAAATATAACTTTTTATGATAAATAATGAATATCAATACTGATAACTCATAAACTTTTTAATTGTGAACCCTAATGTAAGCGGAAAGCATCACACCAAACACAATTCCACAAAAGCTGTTGTTGGGAGCCGTTAGGATACAGTGCATGTATCAGCTCTACACTTATGCTTAATCCAGAAACAGATTTTACATATCTGGAGGAGTGAGTGCATTGTACGTTCTTTAGTTAATCTTCCTTAAAATTTGTATGGTGGTATGTGGTGTGAATCTTAGCCCAGAAGCTCAAATGTACAAGAAAGATTTTATTTCTGTTAAATTCGTTTTCAGCTGACATCTGCATCCCACTATGATGTCAGGTAACTTTATCTCAATTTCCCCTTCCAGGGAATCTGGAATGGTTGTGATTCCAGAAAAGAGGGGGAAAGGCCTATAGTGTCTAATGTGTTACAAGACTACTATGAAGCAAGCTTTGGAAGTTGGGGATCATTCTTGTCCCACCACTGGGGGACATGCTGCCACTGCCTTCCTCTCTAGAGTACACATAAGTAATTTCTTCATGTGTGTGTCTACAGAAAGCATACTTCATTAAACTGCCTGCCCAGCAGTCCCTACCCAGCCCTCTCCCGTTTCCTCAAGGAAGTACAAAGCCTTGCTCTTGGTTTGAAATTGAGAAAGGGTTTGGGATGAGAGGCCTGCATAGATAGAACAAGCTTAAATTAGCAAACCACTCTACTATCCTACCGTAATTGTTTCTGTAGGCCTAGTCTTTCATGAAGTCTGGGAAACCTCATGAAGTCTTCCACCTGTATAGAAAAACTACAGCCACAGAAGCCAAGAATCTCTCCAGAAAATTGTTTTCTTTAACTTTAAAGTCCAGAAGAAAGGGTAATGGTGACACCAGACTTCTCTTCCTCACACTGAGCTTAGTATACTTCTTAAACCATTGGTGCTTGTTAGGTTGAGTCATCAGTTCTGTCTCTGTATACCTCAGTTTCTCCATTAAACTAAAAGTGTTTTTGAAGCCATTAAGCAGAACTTATCATGAGAACATGTCATGTTAGAAGAACTGTTAATGATTAGAGTGAGTAAAACTGATAGTTTTAAGGAAGAATTTTGAGAATTTATAGTTTCAATACATTGTACTCTAGTACCGTATGGTAGTAGTTTTTACACTTACTCTTGGGGAAAGTTGCTCATTTGAGTTCTCAGTCACAGATGCTTGTTCCTGAGCTATTCCATTTAGATACAAACTACAAACCATTGGTGATTTTCTAGTTATAATATGCAATACTTCTTTTACTTCCCAGAATCAGATAGTAATTCAGAATCAGATACGGAAGGATCAGAAGAAGAAGATGATGATGAGAAAGACCAAGATGAATCAGATAGTGATACTGAAGGAGAGAAAACTTCCATGACACTGAATAAAACTGCTCCATCTGTCAAAAGCCCTTCCATCAGCCTCGCAGCCCACTCAACACCTCGTAACCTCCACGTAGCAAAAGTCCCAGGCTCTGCTCCTGCTGCCTTAGGTTCTGAACCCCAGTCACCTGCTTTTCCGGGCACACCTTCTTCTGCACTTACTTCAAGTCCGCATTCTGGTACTTACACCTTATTTTTATTATTGTAAAATAGTATTCAACTTATAGCAAGAATCTTTAGACAATGTCAGGAGATGATCTTGTTGGAATCAAGTGTTATATCTAGATTTTAGGTTGGCTGTGAAAACTCAGCATGTACTTTTACTGTGTGTGCTTCCAATTTAAGAACCTGATTGATGACAGCTGTCAATTTTGACTACTTACCTGCATTTGTGTTTAGTTTGTGCTTCTACAGTACAGAAGTTTATTACAGATATTTGGACTTTTATATAACATATGCCATGTCTTTCTTTCTTTCTTTTTTTTTTTTTTTTTCAATTGAGTCCCTTGTTTTTACTATGTGCAGGATCATATCATCCACAAATAGAGATAGTTTTAGTTCCTCTTTGCCAA